AAAGCCGCAGGTTTCAGTGCGGCATGGAATTCCCTTTCCTTCCAGATTTCTCTGGGTGGAGGTTCGGGTCGCAGTTGCCCCAAAGCCCCGCCTCCACCAGCCGGCCGCACCCTGAGACCCCGGGCTCCGTTCACAGCCACACGCCCCCTGATGCGGCGGAGACTACCCCCGCCAGCGCTCCCACCGCCGGCACCAAGCAGGCCTCCTCCGAAAATCGCCAGCGGGAAGGTGCAAAAAGTTCATTGAGTCCCTGCCCACTCTGCCTCCAGGCAAACCCACCCCCTAGTGCTCGAGGGGGTCGCAAAGCTACTGGGGGGGGGGGGCGGGGAGGAGAAATAGAGACCGGCGGGAGTGGGGTGGCCGGCTACCGCGATAGGACCAGGCGGCAGGTTTAGCAAAGTGCTTTACTGGAGGCCCGTGCACCTGACACTGCAGGTAAACAATGGATACTTTTTTCAGTATGAGTATGTGCCAGCATTCGTGCAACCCCACATGGGGGCCGTGGGGAGTACATTGGAAAATAGGGACTGTCCATTGGGACAGACAGCTTTTCTCGGAGGCTAACCAGTGATTGTCAGCTTATGATTAGTCCAAGAAAGCCTGGTTTTCACGTGAAACGCCGTAGTGATTCTAGTTGGCGCCAAACACAGCACGTGAGGAAGCCAGTCCTGGCCGCCACGCCGGAAATTCGAGCCCACCCAACCCGAACAGCTGGGAGCCCCGAGCCCACCCTTCCCAAACCCAGAACCCGGGAAGCGGACTCTCCTCAGTCCCACCCCTGAGGTCCGAGCAGTTGGGAGTCACCCCGCGCGGAGGCAGCAAATCTGCGAGCCTGGCCCGACGCCGAGCGGCTCCCTGCGCTCACGACGGAGCCGGAGCCCAGCGAAGTGGGTCTCCCCGTCGCGCCTTCGAGCCGGGCCTCCGCTGAACACGCAGATTAAACGCGGGGCCTCCGACAAAGATAATTACAAAAGGCTGAGCATTAGCCCTCAAGTATTAAAGGAAGACCCAGATCTCCCCTCGCAAGCTGTTCCCGGGATTAGCAACACAATAACTTTCCTTTGGGATAATTGCCTTTTGAATTGCTCCGGGGCGGGGCGGGGCGGCGTTAGACGCCGGCGTCGTTTTCGGCTTTGGGCCGGGTCCCGGGGTCTCCCTCCCCAGCCCCTGCCCGGGGACGCGGGAGGGCACCGGAAGACCCCACCTTCGGCCACCCCGCACGGCGCCAGGAGCACTCGGAAGGATCCTACAAAACGCATTTCCAAATGAGAGGAACTGAGGCTTGTCAATCCGCTCACCCTGGACGCGGAGAGAGAAATCCGGGAAGAGAAGCAAGAGACCTGATAAGGAGCAGGGGTTGGAGGCCTGGGAGACCTGGCAACTCCAGGATAGAAGCGTCCCTGAAGCCTCCACCGGCCCCGCCTGCGGGGAGGGACCCGCGGGACATGGGAGTGGGATTGCGGGGAGAGCTGAACCCTGCCCCCCCCCTTCCTTTTTGCAACACTTTCACTGCTCCCTCCCCAGTGAGAATTGCTTTCCCTACAGCCACCGCCACCCCCACCCTGCTAATCCGCGCCCCGGCTCCCGCCCCCAGCTGCTGCGGGAGATCCACGGTCCTCTCCAGCGCACACGGAGACCTCGGGCTCCGTTGGACCCTCTCAGAGTCCCAACCCCTGAGAAGAGCTCAGTCCGCTAAGGGCTTCGCGCAGAGCCCTCCAAAGCAAGGGAAACACTTCTAGTTTCTTTAGGGGGCTTGGCAGGAGAGAGCGAGCCGGCCTGGAGTCTGCGCGCCCAGAGCGCCCCGGCAGGTGCCAGCCTACGAGGGGGGCGCCAGCGTTTGGGGGAACCCCTCCTCAGTAGGTTAGCGGGCAGGCACAGACAAATCAGATCCCTCTGCAGCCTCTAGCCCAGGATTATCCGGGATGCATCTAATCAGTAACGTTTCTCCGCTCTTTATTTTCCAGGGAAGGTTTCCAGGCCCTCTTTGAGGCCAACCACAAATGTGAGCTCCCCTTCCCCAGGCCCTCTCCCGCACACACACCCTGACCCACACCCCCGCCCTGGCTTGGGCGCCCCCAAATGGACCCTGGACCGGGTGTGAGTGGCTCAACAGAGACCGGGGTTGGGCTTTGTGGAGTTGCCCCTGGCCGGCTGTCGGTATAAAGTACAGACACAATGGAAGTGGGATGCACATGTGCTTGAAATGTATCGCCTTGTGATTGTCCACACAAACAGGTCCCCAGGCTCCGTGCCTCTTCTGATTTTCCTCCCACCGCTCCTCTGGCTGCTCCTTCTCAGTTGCTTTTGTGTCCCCTTTAAGGATCCTTGTAGCAGACTCTTGTTTTGCCCTGTCCACGTCTCATGCCCTAACCACTGTGCCTGCATGCCCACCGGGCCTCCAGTACCGCCCCCCCGCCACCACCACGTCTTCTCATTTGTTTATCTTTTGTTGTTGTTGTTTCCCTTCCCCAAGGAGATGTATCCAAAAAAATATTACTAAGAGAGATTTTACTGCTTATGTTTTCTTCAAGGATTTTTATGGTTTTGAGTCTAACATCTATGTCTTTAAATCATTTGAGTTCATACTCGTGTATAATGTAAGAAGGTAGTCTAATTCCCCCCCCACACACACACACACACTTAACGTGTCAATTTACCCAACACCATTTACTAAATAGTTTGTTGTTACCCCATTTTATATGTTTGTTTTATTTGTCAAATATTAGTTGACCATGTAGGCATAATTTCATATCTAGGGTAAGAGAATATGCTTGATACGATTTCAGTCTTCTTAAATTTATTGGGACTTGTTTTGTGTTCTAACAGAGGTCTCTCCTAGAAAACATTCCACGTGCACTGGAAAAGACTATATGTGTTCTGCTGCTTTGGGGTGAAATGCACTGAAGATATCAATTTAATGTATCTGATCTAGTGTGTCATTTATGGCCACTGTTTCCTTGCTGATTTCCTGTCTGGAAGATCTATCCATTAATGTCAATGGGTGTTAAAATTCCATACTATGACTGTGTTACTGTCAATCCCTCCCTATAAAAGCTCCTCAACATTTGCTTATTCTATTTACTGGTAGGTCCTCCTATGTTGGGTCCATAAATGTTTACAATGGTTATATCCTGTGGTTGGGTTGATCCCTTTATCATTATGTAGAGTTCTTCTTTGCCTGTTATTATAGTACTAGAGGCCCGGTGCATGAAATTCATGCATGGGTAGGGTCCCTAGGCCTGGCCAGAAATCAGGGCTGATCTGTGGGGCGACCAGTGGGGCAATGGGGGGGGGAGCGCTAGCCTACTTGCCGGCCAGCCCCACCCCCAGTCACCCTATTGCTGCAGCCGGTTGCCTCCCTCTGTGGGAGGTGACCAGCAGGATAATCAGGGTTGGGGGGCCACCGCTGGCACCTGCCTTGTCTGGCCTGGGGCCTGTGGGCTGGGGCAGCTCCTGCATTGAGCATCTGCCTCCTGGTGGTCAGTGCACATCATACTGACCAGTCGTTCCACTGGTCATTCTACTGGTTGGTCAATTTGCATATTAGGCTTTTATTATATAGGATGGGTGTTTTTTTAAGTTTATTTTGTCTGATATAAGTATTGCTACCCCAGCTTCTTTTTTTTTTTTTTTTGCCATTTCCACTTTCTCAAAATATCTTATTTTATCCCTTTTTTTTCAGTCTCTGTGTGTTTTTTGTTCTGAAGTGGGTCTCTTGTAGAAAGTATATATAAATATTAGTCTTATTTTCTTATCCATTCAGCCACCCTGTGCCTTTTTTTTTTAATCCTCACTCCGAGAATGAGGATATTTTTTCTACTAACTTTTTTTTTTTTCAGAGAGTGGAAGGGAAGAGAGAAGTGGGGAGAGAAAGAGAGAGAGAAAAAAAAACATCAATGTGAGAGACACATCAATTGGTTGCCTCCCACATGAGCCCGACTGGGGATGGGGATGGGGATGGGGATGGAACCTGCAACCCAAGTATACACCATTGACAAGGAATCACACCCACGACCCTTCTGTGCACAGGCCAGTGCTCTAACCACTGAGAAATGCCAGCCAGGGCTACCCTATGTCTTTTTATTAGAGCATTTATGCCATTTACATTTAAATTGATTATTGATAGGTATGTATTTATTATCATTTTATTCTTTATAACTATGTTTCTTTTCTTTCATTTTTAAAATCGGACCATTGAACATTTCTTGTAATACTGGTTTGGTGGTAATGAACTCCTTTAGCTTTTTGTTGTCTGGGAAGCTCTTTATTTCTCCTTCAATATTAAATGATAACCTTCCTAGGTAATATAGTCTTGGTTACATGTCCTTGCTTTTCATCTCTGAATATTTTGTGCCAATGCCTTCTGGCCTTAAATGTTTCTGTTGAGAAATCAGCTGACAGTCTTATGAGAGTTTCCTTGTAGGTAACTAACTTTCTTTCTTTTGCTACTTTTTTTTTCAATTTTAAAGGACTCAGTTTATTAACTAACCAGATTACAAAAATAACCATGGTAGATACCTTAGTTCATCCTTCTAATAAGCCTATTGATCTGGTCTTCCCTGTTCCCAGCATCTCTACATTCTACAAAATGGGTGGTCTTCTTCTTCATCCCACCTCGTGAAGAAGATAACTTGAAGGGCCACAGGAAGTTGTTCACTTCTTTGAAGCACTTTCCAACAGTGTAGATCTCATGAATCAGATCTTCCAAGCAGATGATGCCATAGTTAACAAGAGATCGAGCAATCAATGAGTTATCTGTCAGGGCAATTCATTTTTTGTTGATTTTGCCATAACCACGCTTGTAGATCAATTCACTTACTGACTTCGGGTTTGGGTACCCTCAAGCAATGTATGGCTCCACAATCCTCAGCATGTTAATGGAAGCCTTGTTGAGCTTAACAAAGGTGCCGTTGAAGATCTGGCAAAGGCAAAGAAGCTGCAGCACCTTTCGGACCTTTGGGCTCACACCATTGGTACCTCTGATCCTGATGACAAATGCCAATTTGGGTTCAGCAGGTACGTAGAAGTTGCCAGCTTTTCTTGCCATCCTAGCCATTCGAATCTCTGTTCTGTACATCTGCCTGTATTCCTTGTAATAGTGCTTAGCTTTTTCATAGATGAGCTTCCTTCTTGCCTTTTGAAGCACTTTTTGGGCAAACTTCTTTCTCAGGCACTTGATCTTCAGCTCTGCAAAATTCCTTCACTTTTTCTTGACGGTTTATGGCACAGCAGGAACCTTCTTCTTCTTCTTCTTCTTCTCTTCTGCACCCTTCATGGTTCCAACTAGAAAAGAGCTCTTTTGCTACTTTTAAGGTTGTATTCTTGTCTTTAACTTTTGCCATTTTAGTTATGATGTATCTTATTGTGAGCCTCTTTGGGTTCATCATGTTTGGGACTCTGCACTTTCTGGACTTTTATCTTTTTCCTTCACCAGATTTGGGAAGTTTTCAGTCATTATTTTTCAAATAGTTTATCAATTTTTACTTTCTTCTCCTTCTCAGACCTTCATGATGTGAATACTGTTACACTTCATGTTGTCCCAAAGGTTCTTTAAATTATTCTTATTTTTTAAATTCCTTAAAAAATATTTTTTTGCTACTCTGATTGGTCATTTTCTGCTACCTCTTTTTCCAAATCACTCAATCAATCCTTTTAGAAGCAGGTTTTTCATAACAATGTTACTCATTTAAATCATGTCCTGATTACATTCCCCAAATTTTGTTTTTATTTTATTATTTCTTATCTGACAACTTAATCAGGTACTATTTTAATGTGTTAAAACAAAGAGTAAGAAACTATCTGGCATGCAAAATTATTTCTTATCCTATCATTATATGCTTTAATTTTTTCATTTTCAACGAAGTATAATCTAAAGGAATTTACTTAGATTTATAAATGATTGTTAATTATACCTATTATTCTTTTACTTATAGGCATCTTAGTACCATCTGGCAGTAAGATCTGTTATGGGAACTTTGTTTAAGAAACAAAACTATAAAACTGAAATAAAATTGGAAAATGTACACTTTAGAAATGTTTCTGGCAGCTCTGACAAAAATTCACTTATTTCATCTATTTCCATTTTATATGTTATCTTAAAGTGCTTAAAAATTAAATGCATGACATATGGGCAGAGAAATAGAATACACACACAGACATCCATAGGAATTGACTTTATACTTACGTTTGTGACAGATTAAGCACAGCTTCTCCACACTTGAGAAAGAAGAATTAATTCTACTCAAAGCCAGTTTTCTCA